TGTGTGTGTATAAACAGTATATAAACTGGGTCACAGCTTTTCCCGAACTTATAAAAAGAGACATGAGTTTGAGAGCAAGGGGGTGTGGCAGGTGAAGCAGGTGGAAAGACGCAGCATACGGACTGGTGGAGCTCCAGAGTTTGCCCAGGATAGCTGATGTTTCGGGCTTCATGGCGAAGTTTGACCCAACCCTGGAGGGTTCAAGAGGACTTCATATTCACCTCATCTAATTGCCACACGAGGCAAGGATCGGTCCCGTTTCCTGGAGTACCTTTGGCGGAGTGCGCTCCAGGCCTGGAGAAGGAAGCCCCGGGAATAGAAACGCTAACCCGGTGACACGTTTCCTTATCTTTTTTTTTTTTTTTTTTTTAAAAGACCAAGACTGGTGAATGGGCCCCAACAAATTAATTTTTTTGTATCTTGATATTTTTGAGCGTGTAGGGTTTTTGTTTTTTTGTCCTGTCTCTGTCTGTTTCCTCACGTTTCCTGTTCAGCTCTGTTTTTCCTCCTTGTGTTCAGCCCCTGTCTCACCTGTGTCTCATGTTAATCACTGCAGGTGTCTGTCATTGTCCCAATCAGTGTCTGTGTATATATTCAGTTCCTCTGCGTCTTGTCTTTGTCTCGGAATTGGCCTTCTATGGTGTTGTGTTTAGCCTTCTGTTACGTCCGTTCGATTAGTCTGTGAGTAGCTGCCCTGTCAGCATTTTGTTTTTGTTTTGTTTGATAAATATTTGTTATTATTCCTCGAGCGTCCTCGTCATCCTCCTGCACGTGAGTTCAAACACACCTGACGGCTGAACATGACAGAATTCCGAGACCGTACTGAACCCAGCGGGAGGATGATTACTTTGTTCGAGTTTTTGGCCCGTGAGGCAGATAAGACTGCCCAGAAAGATAGAGAGAGGGAGGAGAGGAGGAATCCATTTTGGGGAGCCCGTCTGGCTATCAAGCCTGGGTCCTCAGTCTCACAGCCTCTCCATCCCTCTCCCCCTCGCCGTGCCGCTGCACCCTGCTGCCCACCTCCTCGCTCTCCACCTGGCTGTCCCAACCAATCATTAGAGAGAGACTGGCGAACCGCTGTTCCTCCCCGAACCCAGCGCAAGAAGGGGAGAACCTCTCAAGCGGAGGAAAAGCTCAGCCCTCAGTCGCCAGAGGAGTGGCGGAGAATTTTGCTGGGGGGAGGTACCTGTGCCTATCAGAGGAGCAGCCCAGCTCTCGTTCACTGGAGGAGCGAGGGGGGAGTTCGCTGGGTGAGAGGAACCCATGCCCCCACTTGCTGGAGGAACAGTACAGCCCTCCCTCGCTGGAGGGGCTGGAACAGTGGCAGGCTTCCGTAATGGCAACATATCTGGATCCGTTTCTGCCCTGCCGTGAGGAGACCCAGGTGGCCGCTCCTCACTCCAGTCCTCCAGAGGGGTTCACGGCTCCATCTCCTGCGGCAGTCCTGGTTTCACCACCTGCTGCTGCAGTTCTGACTCCTTCACCACCTGCTGCTGCAGCTCTGACTACTTAACCACCTGCTGCTGCAGCTCTGACTCCTCCACCACCTGCTGCTGCATCTCTGACTCCTTCACCACCTGCTGCTGCATCTCTGACTCCTCCACCACCTGCTGCTGCAGCTCTGACTCCTCCACCACCTGCTGCATCTCTGGCCCCCAGTTCTCCTGCTACAGCCCCGACTCCAGGCTCTTCCGCTGCAGCTCTGGTACCCAGTTCTCCCGCTGCAGCCCTGGTCCTTGACTCTTCTGATGCAGCCCTGGTTCTGGTTCCTGACTCGCCAGCTGCAGCACTGGTCTCTGGTTCTCCAGCTGCAGCCCCGGTCCCTGGTTCTCCAGCTGCAGCCCCGGTCCCTGGTTCTCAAGCTGCAGTCCCATCTCCGGTCCCTTGTTCTCCTGCTGCAGCTCCGTCTCCAGTCCCTGGTTCTCCTGCTGCAGCCCTGATTCTGCCACCACCACCTGCTGCAGTCCTGACTCCACCACCACCACCTGCTGCAGATCTGGTCCCCGGCTCTTCTCCTGAGGCCCCCAGCTCATCTGAGGTCCTCGATCCTGGCTCTTCTGCTAAGATCCACTCTACTGCAGAAGATCCTGGCTCTTCAGCTGAGGCCCTTGCTCCTGGCTCATTGGCTGAGGTCCTCGCTCCTGGCTCGTTGGCTGAGGTCCTCGCTCCTGGCTCGTTGGCTGAGGTCCTCGCTCCTGGCTCGTTGGCTGAGGTCCTCGCTCATCTCTGGAGGTCCTCGCTCCTGTCTCGTCTCTGGAGGTCCTCGCTCCTGGCTCGTCTCTGGAGGTCCTCG